TGAGCCCTGTTATGCATATATTCTAATGGGCTAATGGGTCTCAGGGCTCATGTCTTAAGGTGATTCGATGGACGCCATATTTTGTGTCAGAACGGCCTGCGATATATCGCATCAATTGGTTCCATTTTTTCAGCTACTCGTCATTTTCCTCTAATTTTGAGATCGCAATTCTGTTGTCAGGAGACTAAAGCACTCACTTGCCAATTTTAACAAAGAAATTCAACGGAATAAAGGCGTGGTTTTTTCAGAGAGAAAACATCGCATTCGATACTGATATCGAAACTGCGCTCGAATGCGATATTTTCTCTCTAAAAAAACCACGCCTTTATTACGTTGAATATCTTAGTTAAAATTGGTAAGTGAGTGCTTTAGTCTCCTGACAACAGAATTGCGATCTCAAAATTGGAGAAAAATGACGAGTAGCTAAAAAAATGGAGCCAATTGATGCGATATATCGCATGCCGTTCTGACACAAAATATGGCGTCCATCGAATCACCTTAATGCACATTGTTCCGTTTGGCAGAAATACGTCCAATTGTCAAAGTTCCCTTGAGTATAACATGTATTTTTGAAGAGAGGTATGTATATTTTTCCCTGAAATTTTCAGATATTTTAGATGAAATCGCAGACAAAATTGTCTGAAAAATTCCAGGAAGAATATGCCACATTGACCCATTAAATTCGGTTTTTATTGAAGGAAATATGACAACGTCTAAATGCTAATACAGCGTTCCTCCTTATCCCGGCGAGCTAGAAGCGTGTTATTTGAACATGCATCGTTCGAAATTTCATATTGGTGATTGCGTTGTTGCAGCTTTCATATTTTGGCGGGTCAGCCTGGACTTGGAATGAAAAACGGGGCCAGTACTATTTGCATCAGTTCCATCCGAAACAACCAGATTTGAACTATAGGAACCCTCTCGTTGTTCAAGAGATGAAGGTATACACACACCGACTTCTTTTTGCATTAGAACCCTCAGAGGATATCATAAAATGAGCAAAATAACTTTGAGCCTGAACCTGAGCTAATCACTGAGGCTAAACGATGTAAATTCCAGTTAGGACACTCAGGCACATTGTAAATGCTCGGAAAATATAAGTTGTATTGGATTCAAGCGCAAAGCGTGATCTCTCCTCGAAAACTTTGCATGGGATTTTTGCAATGAGTAAAAGAGAATAGTTTCACCCATTGGTAAAAATTACACATAATTGATCGTCCTCAAAGATACTAACGATCTATTTCTAAAGATCATCAAGGTATTTCTATCAAATTGTGATACGATTCTTAACTATTTATTTTCATGAACGAACGTATTTGATTGAGAGATTGCATTTTACATCACTTATTAGTTACTTAGAAAAAAAATTATATATATTGCCAGTGATTCAGAAAAAGTGGAAAAGTTTTGGCAGTAAGGAATAAAGGTAAAACTTTTTCCACATTTTCTGCATCACTGGCTATATATGTATGTAATTTTTCATCTAAGGAACGTATTTGTATCAAACACCTTAGGCTAATTCCTTGGGTTTCAATAGTTGTACTTTGATGATCATTGAGGATTCCGAGTATCTTTGGGGCTCATTGAAGATATTTTATTCTCTAGGGCCAGTATGAATGGCCATAACGCCAAACTTTTTGGCAAAAAGTGCATGCTACCGCATTGATATTACCATAAAACATGGTTGAGGGAACAATATGGGACCAATCATTATATTAACGACTAGACCCTAAACGAAAGTCCATCAAGACTGACTTGTTTGAAAAAATTTGCTGACCAATTAATCTTCTATTTGATGAAAAACCTATTCCTGTGTTCAATTCCGCCAAAAGTAGTCGCACTAACCCATCACATCGTATTCCTTTTCATCAGGATGTTTTGACTTATTGGATGGACAAAGGAGTAGATGGATTCAGAATGGACGCTGTGATGACCATCATGGAGGACATTAAACTGCGGGACGAACCACTCTCGGGCAAAACAGATGTTCTGCCAACTGATGAGGAATATCTTAACCACATTTACACCAGAGACCAACCGGGGACCTACGAGATAATTAAACAGTTCCGAAAACATCTTGATGATTATTCTAGGAAAACTCACACGGTCAAGTGAGTATGATTTTGGAAAGTCGTAGACATTATCACGGATAAAGAAATTTAGTCAAATGATGTGATTTTTAGAAAAAAATGGGTTTAAAGTTTCACAATTGGACGTATTTCTATCAAACTGAACTACGTGCATTGTGACGTGAGCCCTGTTATGCTTATATTCTTTTGGGTCTCAAGGCTCATGTTTTAATGCACATAGTTCCGTTTGGCAGAAATACGTCCAATTCGTCGTTTCCGAGTAAATAATCGAGTTAAGAGCAGGATTAAGCGATCGGCGTATAGGTAAATAGAAACTTCCATTTATGCTGATTTGTGATTACAGCTTGTTTACAAATGAATTCTGAGTGTTTATTTATTTTTTTC